GTGGGTGAGTGAGTGACTGAGTGAGTGTGAATGTGGGTGTGAGTGTGACTGTGAGAGTGCGTGAGGGTGAGTGTAAGCGAGCGTGAGTGTGTGTGAGTGAGAGTGAGAGTGAGAGAGTGAGAGAGGTAGTGTGAATGGGAGTGCGAATGTGAGTGTAAGAGAGCGAGTGAGTGAGAGTGTGAGAGTGAGAGTGAGTGTGAGTGAGAGTGTAAGTGTGAGTGAGTGAGTGATTGAGTGAGTGGGTGGGTGAGTGGGTGAGCGAGTGAGTGAGTGGGTGGGTGAGTGGGTGAGCAAGTGAGTGGGTGAGTGCTTGAGTGAGTGAATTTGAGTGGTGTGAGGTTGAGGGAGTGAGTGTGAGCGTGAACGTGAGTGTGAGCGTGAGAGTGAGAGCCTCTGAGAGCACAAAGTGCTGCGCCTGCCAGAAAACAGGAGGGCACATTCCAGCATTATCTAAGATTTGTTGTGTCAGTGTGTTTTCAATTTTTTGCCGTAAAAGGGCACACCCCATTAAAGTTGACCTCAATGTTTTTTCTAGTCGTATAGATATTGCAGCAGTACTATTCGCAACGTGAATACAGTTAAATGAAGGGGAACATTGGATGCCTGGAAAACCATGATGAAATCCTCCAACACTTGGGCCCGTGGCCTGCCTGTGGTGATGCTTTGAGGGAGGGTAGCCATAAAAGGATTCAAAAGGCCCAGGCTCCGAAAAAAAACATTGGAGGGTTCTGAGTTTGAAACGATTTGTTGATCCTGTAGGTCCTCCCAATTTCGAGCTTTTTGAGCCCCCACCTGACCTTCTGAACAAACAGAACCAGCCAAAACAGCGCTGCTTTGCGCAGTGAAGGCCTTTCCGGCGGAGCAGCGGATCTTGGAGGCTGTGGGACAGACTCCCCGGAGACAGGTGTTTGATGATACCCAAACCATCCATGCAAGGAACAGTTACCTACATGGACTGGGATATTGCAACCTCCCATATGAAGAGGTTTTACTCATCAAAAAATATAAAGAGGTTTTACCTCCCATATGAAGAGATTACCTCCATATTGCAACATCCCTCTAAACGGAATGACTTTATTCATCAAAAATCTACAGTCAAGCCGCTGGTGCCAAAACCCAAATTGGCAGAGAAATTGCACATTTTTTGCAAGGACAATTTAATCGCGGAGAACACCAAACACCGGAATGTATATAGGCAAACGCCATATATGTTAGAAATACCAAACAAACAGACCCATATGCTAGAAATACCAAACAATCAGACCCAAGCGCGACCTATGGGACTGCCATAGGACTGCCCATCAGTTGGGGTGGTGCCAGGGGGTCAAGGGGGCGGCAGATATTCCAGTCCCATGGAGTGTATGGGAGAATGCATTTGCAGTACTTGACCCCGAATGTTAGTCCCCTTTTTTTCCGAGTTGGTGGGAGAGTCATTATAGGGTATCAATAGTTGGTTCTTCAAAGTGAGGACTGAGATCGTCACAAAGGACCTCAGTCAGGGTCACTGGGACCCTCAAGTCCGACCACAAACTGAAAAAAATATGGGATTGGGAATTGGATTGTTCAGCTCTCCTAGCAACAAACATGGAAAGTTGAAAACCTACCCGTTTGATTCTGTTTGTAGCGGAACCAACTGGAAAAGACAGTGTCTCGAGGCCCGGTGATTTGATGTGATCGGTTTATTGGTTCAAATCACTTTTTCAGACAAAATATATACATCATGTTTTTGCTGGATAAGACTAGATGCATTTTTCCTGACAAATTGTGCCGAAGCTCTTGTTCTTGTTCCGCCTGATGGTAATGTGGCACCAGACGTCAAGTCTTGCATGGGTTTCGGTTGTACTGTTTGGAGCCTATGTGATTCAAAAAGAAGTCCGAGGACTGGAATCTGGTCATGAGCACTATTTGCAGCATCACAAGAGGATATGGGTCTATAGGGAGACTTTCCAGGCAACGACCCCTCGGAAGAAGGAGCATATACCCCAAACCCATGTGTGGCTAAATCAGCTGATGTGGCCACAAACATATTTAAACAAGAAAAACTATTCATTACTGGTCATACAAAAACACTACTTAAGGAGGTCAAGTCGCCTGTTTTACTGGGTACCCGTCAATCGGACGGTCCAGGATAGGCCGGTCGATCTGCTTACTGGTTCAATAAGTCGAACTTGCAGTTCTTGGAGGATCAAGCAATGTCGGATCTTAATTGGTCAAGTGGGAGGGAATAGTAATAAATAGTTTTCGCCAAATTATTCCAACACCCTGAATCCAAAAAAACGGGGCGGATTGTGGCGCGGACTGCAAGTTCGTGCATGCCAAATATGATACTTTTCCGATTACAAAGGACGTCAGTCTGGGTTCTAGGAATACACCCCAGACACTCCATATATGGAATATCTGCTTGAACCCCCCTGGCACCACCCCTGGCCGTTTCTCGGCAGTCCGGCAGTCCCATGGATTGGGCACCTGTTTTCGTCGATCGAGGGCGCCACCGACGTCCAACGAGATGCGGCGTCACCGATCGTTGCACCGCTGCAGGGCACACCTCAGGGGCTTCTGGTGGGACGGGCGCATCAGCAGACACTTCATCAGGAGGCTTGGAATCGTGCCGAGCAAAGAACAAGTCCATTTGGTCTTGAGGAGCACGAACAATGCCAGGATGAAGTCCTGGAAGATTTGTTTGGTGGTGTTCGGCTCCCGTTTTTTGGGTGGTTTGTGCCAAGCCCTGAGATTCATTTCTGATGCCAGCATAGTGGAAATCATACTTCCGAGCTTTCAACAGAGATTTGGAAGACAATGTTTTTTTTAGATAGTCCAGTCCGAGTTTGGATTCCATTGGATACATTGGATACGGTTGTTTCCCAGTTTTTCTGGATTATGTAGAGTCCAGAGTCCATAGGATAGGTTTGTATTCATGCTTATGTTGACGGTTGGTGTGCGGCAACCAACTTGAACCAAGCCAGTCAGGTGCTCCAAGCAAAACCTTGATGATCGCAAGGGGGCAAGCCTTCTGGGAGGAAAAGGTTCCGCTTTGTTTCAGTCGACATGGATTTGAGACAAAGGATCCAATTCGGTGCCCTGTTGAATTCCATGTCCCATGCGTCATGCAACAGCTGAATTCAAGCCCTGCCTGCAGTGAGCTCGGAATCCTACCCCTGTCACAAACCCTTCTAGAAGGTTCTTGGATGAGATCCATCAAACTTCCTCCAAAAATCTACAAGATGGCACAGTAGTACTTGTGTGTACCTGTACCTGTCTTTTGGTGATTTCGGGCCGGGTCATGTCCCATGTTCTAAGCTACACAAAACGGGCGTCGGGTCGAATTTGCCTCTGCGGCGCACCAGACGAGCCAGGCATTGAGGAAGGAGGTGCGAGAATACTTGAGCTGAGGCCCAAGCGATCGTTGGGTGACTGGATGTGTTTGTTGTTTGTCCGAACTGACCTGTAACAGTCAGTAAGCAAGTATTACCTGTTTTTGAACAAGGCCTGCAACTGAACCATCATCATCATCATCATCATCATCATCATCATCATCATCATCATCATCCACTGTTGCAGGTATTAGGATAGACCCAAACTGGATGTGTTCGTTGGTTTCCAGCAGTTCCAGTTTGGGTGTGCCCCTGTTTCTCACACATCCACTCACCGGATGGAACAAAACACCACCCAACTCCATGTAACTACTGGTGCGTACTTTGAGACTCCAAATACTTGCTTCTTGATCAGCACGACTTGACTCCCATCAACACTTATTGGACTAGAAAATTCAAGGGACTTGTGACTGTTATATTTGGATCCTTCGACACACTGTTGGTCTTTTTCATCAACTCGATTACACGTGTATTCCGGATCCCTTCACATATAGACCGCCCCCACCTTTCGTCCACCCCCTCCCCGAAGCCGCGAGTTCCACCCCCTCCCCTCCCGAGCATCCGTCCCATCTCTCAGCCGCTCCCAGCCGCTCCCCTTGAGCACGACCTGGGACTGGGGACAGGTAGGCCGCGTAGGTGTGTATTTTAGGAAGACCCCCTGGCCCTGGCCGGGTAGACTGGTCCAAGTTCTCTTCTGTTTCCAGGAGGTGGGAGGTCGCTGCATGGGGTCGAAGACGAAGTGCCAGTTCGGTGTTCTGGTGCCATGAAGCCGACCCCATTTCAGACCTGTACCGTGTGCAGCCCTATATATGGCAGTCCCATGGCCGTTTTAGGTCAAGGTCCGTCGAAATCGACTGCTGGAGACTGGAGACTTGAGCTGGGTCGATCACACGTCGGAGAGCGAGTTGGGTGCTATCCATGAAGGCTTACTGGGGTGCCCAGCTACTCCACGAGCCCTGGATGGGACGAACAAAACCACCCAACTCCATGAGACTCCTGAGGGGGGATGGGGTATATTTGGAACTCGACTTGATGACGTCGGGTCAGATCCATTCCCAGACCATCGGAACGTATATATGCCTACATTGACCCCCCAAACCATTCCCATGTAGCTCCCTAGGGCTTCAAGTACCTTCTACGAAGGTGTTTGGGGTGAGTTTAGAGGGTCCAAATGCCTTCTGAGGAGGTACTTGGAGCCCTAGAGGCTTATAAACTCAGTCCGAAGGTCTGCGATATTCTGGGATCCTGAAGCTTCATCCTCGGTGCCGCTTCGACCCGGTTCCCCCGGTACGTTCGTGTGTCAGGACTCCGAAGTCTTTGGTTCGGGTCCGATGTCCCCAGGGCCTCAGGGTCGCTACTGCTTCCGTCCAAAAGAGGCCCGGACTGAGACACGAACCGGTGGACGAACAGGTGAACAGTTCCGGCTCGACCTCGCTCAGGTCGGGATCACTTCCGAATCCTTCGGGAGAAGGATGGGCGTTTCCAGTTGGCCCGGCGTCCCAGGAAAAGACGGAGGAAACGGCGGAAGCCGATGTGGCAGATCCAAAGTTGCACGTCATTTCAGACGCAAGTATATAGCATGATTGGCCTTTGGGCTTCGGGTCTCCGTTCGTACGAGATGGGTAGAAGATGTTTATATACTTGTTGTACCATGTCATTATTCTTATTTGTTCAATGGGGTCATGTCCAAAGTTTCCAAGTAGATAAAACAAAAAGCAGTAAACAAACACATGGAGTACTATATAATTTAATAGTATAAGATAGTACTTATATTATAGTACTTCCATGGCGGTTTTTTCTTTGGACTTTTGGTTTGGAGGACACATCAGATCCGGAGCGTCGGGGGGGGGGTCTCATGGACGTGTGTCACTCCTGGTCACTCCCGGTGGATCTTAGGGGTTCTATAGGTCGGGTTGAACATCAGTTTTATTATAGTTTCATTATGGTAATAAGTACCAGTACCCAGTACCAGTGTTATTAATCAGTGTTATTAATCAGTGTTATTAATCAGTACCAGTACCCAGTACCTATAATTAATCAGTACTGATTCAACTGTAGGGTTAAATTATCGTTTCATTATGGTTTAATCAGTACCAGTACCCTATAATTCCAAGAGGAGGGCTTTGTTTTAATTCGTATTGTAGTCTTTGGCTTTAGTCTTCAGAACCACTGGCTACCAGTGAACGAGTGACTCGGAGTACTATAAAGGGTAGTTTGGGCGATGGGACCTGCAGGGGGCGACCTGCAGCGATGAAGATGTTTATCGACTCATCATGGATCACGGAGGGACATCGAAGAACTTTGGTTCGTTTGTCCTTTTGTTTTAAAGAGGGTAGGGCACCCATCAATCTGGACATTGGAACTATAAGTCTTTTTAGATTGAGCACTGCAGTTAGATCATCCAGATCGTAGACAGCTCTTAATTTGATCATCACCTCCTCAGAGTGTACATGCAAGTTCCAAACACTTCTCAGAAGGTACTTAAAGCCCGAGTTGCTGATGGTTGTCTCAAGTGGATTCAATGTCCTGCTGGAACCCTCCCACTTGCGGCAGACTAACAGTGCGGGCAACCAGCATCATTGGGAAGTACTGTGCTAACAATCCGGGCCCGAACCTAGTGAAAAGGTTTGGGTTCGGAATGGTTCGGGTCTGGACCCTTGCTGTGTGGAGAGGGTCTAGTCGAAGGATTGTTTGGGTGGGAAGTATTTCAGAACTAGATCTCAGGGTAGCCAGGGTACCTGGAGTCTCAGTTTGTACATCAGAAAATGAGTGCAAGTGCTTGTTTTTGTATGGTCATGGTCATGTCCCATTTTCAAAGGTTGCTGCAGGGGGCCTCTCCAGGTGGATCTCAGGGTGGATTGGATGCTCAATGACCCCCAAGTTTCGTGGTACAACCCTGTTTGCCTTCAACGGGCCCAGCCAAAAGGCAATCGTAGGTTCCTGGACCCTCCAAAGTACCTTAGAACATATTGATATGACCCTGTCCCTAGGGCTCCAAGTACCTTCTAAGAAGGTGTTTGGGGTGGGTTTAGAGGGTCCAAATACCTTCTGAGGAGGTACTTGGAGCCCTAGGGTGTAGAAGCAGGTACTTGTACCTCTTCTCCGAGGTACGAGGTACGGTCGACTCCAGGACCATGGTTCCATTATTCCTCAGTCGAAACCCATGCCCATACCCTGCAAAAGCCGCCAGAAAATGCCACGAGAATTCACACCTGGAAGAGGTGTAGACGCCACCCGGAAAACAACCCTGGCCTCCATAAGCCGCTCTCTGACAACCTGAGAAGATAGATGAAGATCGGGACAGACCCCCCCCAGCACGCACATCCGCACATGCACCCCAAGCAAACTGAAATGGAGGCCAGGAGCCTGATCCAGTTGGGTCCGGAACTCCTCCCAGGTGGCCTTGAGTTCAAACCCCATTTGGCGCGATCGACGTGGAGCGCCGCGGTGTGAACTGGAGAAAGGCGAGGGATTGGTTGACCGAAGCAGGGATGGAGACCGCTGGCCAAAGTCGTACCTCCACCTCCACGAAGGACCCACGCTAGGACTTCCGGGCGGGTTTCGGCGATCGCTTACGGGTCCGGGTGGCCAGTGGTAACCTACAGTTGGGTGGTTTTGTCCGGTTTGCTTGTTTGGTTTGATGTAGGGCTAACGGAGGACGCGGGACACTTGGTTAGGGATTAGAGCCGGGGCAGTCCTCCCTGCGGGGGGGGTTGCACTCTATACCCCTTCAAGTGTCAGACACCCTGCTGTAGCCTGACTAGCTCCAGTGGGGTTTTTCACTTGTCCAGGACCGTGCACTTAACACCGACTCTTGTTTCCACGAGCGAGCGCAGCCACGAATGAAGGCTGGACAGAGCCTGAATTCACCTCGTAACTGGAAACGTCGCTGTGAAGAGGTAACGTGGGGTATGTGGAACGTTCGTTCGTTCTATTCGCAACTGCGGGTGGATGGGGAGGGAAATCTGCAAGTTGAGGGCACCGACCCTGAGGCTCCTGCTGCTTTTTGTCATGTTCTTGCCAATGCCGGAATTTCTTTGTGCTGTTTATCCGAACACCGCTGGCGTGGCGAGGGATCTATTTCTTTTGGTGATCACCTGGTTTTGTTTTCGGGCTTGCCTTGGTCTGCCGCCTAAGCTGAACAGGGTGTCGGTATTGTGCTAAACTCTGCTATGCAACGGGCTTGGAAAGCGGCCGATTCGTTTTGCGAATTTTGGGGAAGTCGTCTGCTTCGCATTAAGCTTGTCATCAACCGCCGCATGATCAATGTGATCTCCGTGTATGCCCCCACCTTTAATTCGGAAGAGCATGTCAAAGACCGCTTCTATGCCGAGTTAACTCGTATGCTTCGCACTATCCCTGCCGCTGAAGAAGTGTTTGTGTTAGGAGACTTTAATGCCAGGGTGGGACGTCCCGCTGCGTCGGACCTGCACGGTCAGACGGATGAAGGTTTCCTCAATGAAAATCTTATTGTTGGCCCTTATAGCTTGCATCACACGAACTCGAATGGCGAGCGCCTCCTGGCCTTATGTGAAAGTGCACCGGTCGGTAAGCTTCGTGTCATGAGTACCTTTTTCCCGCATAAGCACTATGGAACCTGGTTTCATAACAAATTTCGCTGTTGGTTTCAGATTGATCACATGCTAGCTGCCCGCCGCTCCGCCCGCTGTGTTATGGATGTTTGTGTCAAGCCAGGTATTGTTTTCAACACTGACCACCGTTGCGTCAAGGTTAAGCTACGTTTTGCTCCCCCGTCTTATCGTGGACGCCCCTCTCGGCCCCTGTGCCGTCCCGCGGAAACTGCTAAGCTGCCTGCCCTTGCGGTTCACAGGCTGTCAGATGCACCGGTTGCTGATGCTGTTAACTCCTGTCTGGCTGATTTCCTTGAAGATGACTTGCTTGATGAGTATGGGACATGGGCTCATGCCCTGCGTCAGGCCGCGGAACAGTTTGTTGGCCTTCGTCTGGCGCCGGCTGGTCCACAATGGAAACTCGATCATGCTGCGGACCTCGCCTCTATCAGTCGCAAACGGCAGGCCGCTTTTGCCGCTTGGAAGCAGGGTGGCTCCAAGGCCGTGTTCCGTGCTGTGTGCGCCACCTGTAAATGGGAAGTTGCGGCCGTGCTAAACACCTGGTGGGCCAATAAAGCGGGTTCCATTCAAGCTTTTGTCGATGCCAAGGAACCGCAATCTCAATTCGCTGGGTTCCGGGAATTACGGTCAGTGCTTGCGTCTGGTCATCGTCCGATCCCCAAGCTCCGTGATTCGGCTGGGGACTGGGTTCACACCAAATCTGGGCGTCTCGCTCGTTGGAGTGCGTACTTCGCTGACCTGCTCAATGTTCCTGCCTCGGTGACTCCGGAGTTTGTGGCCGGCCTTGCTGTTTTGCCTCCTGATGCCAGCCTTGGTGCTGTTCCTACCTTCGCGGAGACTGTGGCCGCAGTGCGCCGTCTGAAACCGCGTAAGGCTTGTGGTCCTGATGGCCTGCCGGGGGACGTCCTTCGTCGGCTCTCGCTCCCTAACCTGCGTGTTTTCCATGAGCATTTGGTCCAGGTTTGGCTTAGGGCTGTTGATCTACCAACTGCCTGGCGCGCAGGGTACATTGTACCACTTCCTAAGTCTGGTGATCTGACTCACTGTGCCAATTGGCGTGGCATTATGTTACTTTCGGTTCCCGGCAAGCTCTTTGCTCGTGTTATTGCGTCTCGCCTCCAGGAATATGCCGAGACCCGCGGGCTCTTGCCTGAATGGCAGTGCGGTTTTCGTACCGGACGGTCCACGATTGATATGATCTTTACTCTTCGTATGATTTTGGAGAGCGCCAATCATCGGAAAGTCCCGCTCTTTCTGCTATTCGTTGATCTTATTAAAGCATATGATTCCGTTTCCCGTCAGGGCCTATGGAACGTCCTGAAAGCCAAAGGAGTGCCACCTGATCTGCTGTATTTGATCCGTCGGTATTACTCTCATAAAACTGCCCAGGTTGCCTCGGAGGGCTCTCTCTCCGGCTCCTTCAATTTGGAAACCGGTTTAGGCCAGGGCTGCTGTCTTGCCCCGCTGCTATTCAATATTTACTTTGGCGCGGTTATCGAAACGTGGTTGGCCTCCCAACCCAACCGCCTGGTCTGGTCCACTCGAGTTGATGGCATCCTGCGTCGGCAGGCTGATCTTTCTAAATATGCCATCCACGAAGCTTGGCCTTTCCAAGAATTGGGGTATGCGGATGACCTTGCCCTGATCACTGACACACTGGAGAAACTCCGTCATGCTCACACCCGTTTTGCTGCACATATGGTTCACTGGGGCCTGCAGGTTTCTGCCAGTAAAACTAAAGCGCTTGCGTCCTTGGTTCATCATGTTGGCTCCCTGGAAGAGGTTCCCTCTACTGACCCGCCGGTTGAGTTTGTTGATTCTTTCCGGTATCTCGGAAGTCACATCGATTGGCAGCTTACGTGCTCTCCCGAAATTACGTATCGTCTTGATCAAGCTCGCAAGGCTTTCTGGAAACTTGCTTCCTCCGTCTGGGATGTTAAGCAACTGGCCCTTCAGACTAAATTACGTGTTTATCGTGCCTGTGTTCTCTCGGTGCTGCTGTATGCGTGCGAAACCTGGACGGTGTGGTTTCAAATGCGTCTCCGCTTGGAATCTTTTCACATGCGCTGTCTCCGCAAAATCTGTCGCGTCAGTCGCTGGGACCAACAGGTCAAAGGAATCTCCAATGAACATATTCGTGGCTTCCTGGGAGTGCCCACGATTATGGACTTAATTCATCAAGCTCGGCTGCGCAGGATGGGTCACCTGGCCCGGATGCCAAATGACCGCCTGCCTAAACAAGCGTTGTTCTCCTTTCTTCCGCAGGATCTTGGAACCCACCGCCTGCCCGGATTACAAGGAGGTAAGCGGCTCCGTGACGCGTTCGCTGATAGCCTCAAGGTTGCTGGTTTCCCGTTGGCTGGCTGGATGCAACTCGCTATCAATGATGATGGCGTGCCCTGGAAGAGGGCTACCCGCTTAGTGGCCTGCTGGTTTGCTCCGTTTGCTCCGGTGCCTCATTCGACTCCACCGTGTCGTGCTGCTGAGCTTGCTGCTATCCGGGCCGCACCCATTCCAACCCGCTCTAGGGGTCGTGCCGCAGAGCTAACTCGAGCCTGCCGCGAATTTGACGCATTTATTCAAAACAATGAAGGCTTTCTCAGTTGGGAGCATCGCTTAGCGCCTGCTGCTTCCCCATGGCTTGCCATAGATGAGGTTGCCTCTACAGCTTTGGGAACCGAGTGGTTCTATCAGCCAGTTACGGAAGTAGTTGACCAATTGGTTTCGCTTCGTCCGGACTGGGACCGGTGTTTTGCTACTGGTGCTGACTTGTCTCTTTTCTCCATGTCTGTATTCTCTGCCAAACAATTGGCGGCCAACCGCTCCGCTGACCCTATGGTGCTGTCACCGCTCCCGCCTACTAGCAGACGCACTCGTCTGGCATCTAAGCAAGCCCGCCCTCCAGCTTTCTTTAGGTCCGTGTTGCCGCCCGACCGTGCTGCCGAAATGCCAGATCGTGCTGTGGACAAGTATTGGGCCAAGCGCCCAGCCCTTGAAGGTGGGGAAGGTCCGCATGAGTGTCCTCTGCCGGGATGTGGTCGTCGCTTTACTACTAAATCGGGTTTATCTTGGCATATTGCTAAGTCCCATAAACAGGGTACCTACCGTGACCGCACTTGGGACTGTCCTCACTGTCCCCGCACTTTTGAATTGGAGGATGGCCTGACCAAGCATTTACCGCTCCATCGAGCTGGCGCTCATCCAGTGATTTGCTGTGACTGCGGCGCCTATTTCCCAGGCAAACCAAGCGCGCGCATGCATGTGAACCATGTGCATCCTGCGACTAAAGTTTCCTTACCATGTTATTGCCCTTATTGCCCGGGTGAGGCAGCTCCGTGGCTGACGTCATCTCACATGTTCTCGCTGCACAGGCTCAAACACCACGTCTACGTGTGAGTTTTTCCTGATTTTCTTGCTTCTCTGCCAGCTGATGCCATGTCGGGCCGTCGTTCGTCTCGTCGTGATGGTGATGGCGGCAGTGGTCGGGTTTCTCGTGAGGATCTTGACCGCTTGTCCGGCCGGGTGGACCGACTCCACGACCTGGTTGACTCCACCGGTCGTTTGGCTCTCCAGACCGCACACAGAGTGGGGTCAGCGGCCCAACGTGGCCTGGTCTTTTTCTGTAAAGGGTCAGTTAAACAAGACCTCGTCACGGCATGGACAAGTTGGAAAACCACCTCCCGGCTTCCTCCCGGCGAGCGCCCTTCTGTGCGCCCTACTCCGTGGAAGGTGCAGGTGTCGGAGCGGTTCTTGGCGTACATCATGGCCGGAGCCCGGGATGTGGCAGATTTGGGGCAGCACGCTGAAGGTCTCGTACCCCTATCTACCATGGTGGAAGCCATCTCACATGGTGAACCCAATGATTCGGATCCGTGGCCGATCATTGTCACCTTTCGCAACAGCGAGCAGGCGGTTGGTCTACGTGAAGCCCTTCTCCACGAAAGATGGCGCGTGCTCCAGGGGCGGGACAAGGAGCTCGGCTGGCGTCCGGCACGCCATATGGCCAGTGGACCAGCCCGGGCGGTTTTGCAAGGCCTGGGCCTCGAAGCCAAGGGTGGCGGTAAAGGAAAACGCCGATCACCGAAGCGGGAAGGAAGTGCAGCACCCCGAGCCGAGCCCGCTCGCCGTGCGCGCACGTGAAGGACTGCGGTATATTGTTTTCTTTACACCTTCTTATTCTGTGCTTATGTCAGGAGGTGCTGCCCTCCTTGACTTTGTATCCAGAGGGTGCCGTCCCTCTTGGACATGCTTGGCTGAGGGTGCCGTCCCTCATGCCTTCGGTGGCGGGTGGTTCCGATTTCGGCTCGTTTGTGCTGCGTTGCTGGGTGCCCCCTGTGCTGTTCTCGCTTCTGCTTCCGGCTTGTGCCTCTTGCCCTCCCTGTTTGCGGCTTGGCTTGCCCTCTGCTGCTCTTGCTGCTGTTTTGTTCTCCCTCTTCTCCCCCCTCTTCCAGCTCTGCTGACAGTTTTGGGGTGGGGTTGAGTTGTGGGTGCTGGGGTGCCGTTGGCTGCGGGCCCCCTTCGTCTCCCTCTCCTCCCCACTTGTTTGGTTGCCCGGGTTGTTTTTCGTCGATTGTTTCTTTATTTCCCCTGCTTATGTTGTCCGCTTTCTCGGTCAGTTCACGACGCTGGCACGTTTCTCGTGCCCGGTTACTTTGTTTTTGTTCTTATGTGAAAGTTGACTTCACCCTGTTTTGCAGGAGTGTACGCAGGTATGCCCGATACGGGCGATATCCTTCTACCACGGATGGAGACCGGCGAAGCAGGGATGGAGGTAGTGATCAAGGGAGACCGGTTTGAGGTAATGAGTCTCATTCTTTTAGGGATCCATGGGTGGAAAGTATCACCAAAGATCCCAAAACTATGAGTTTCCCCTATATCTTCCCTTAATTAAACCGCAGGATCTAGGAACTTGCTGTCAGGATAAATGATGTGTACAGACCCTTTGAGAGGGTGACGCTGCACGGTGTTTTCGGAGACTTGGGGTTTGGGTCTCCGGTTGTACCGAAGTCGTGCTGAACCGAAGGAAAAAAGGGATATGGCTCCCTATACCAGGACCCGACACCGCGGGGTGCCCTGTCTGGAAGCCGAACGGCCAGTAGTGTGGGGTAGTTCACACTCCTTGGACCCCGACAGGAGGGTCCTGGTATAGAGTTGTGACTTGTAAAAAAGAACAATAGTCGGATTGTCCTTTTGCCGTGAGGCGGACACTATCTTACAGAGTGTTTCATCTGTACACCTATCGACTTGTCGACACCGAAAGTGGGTTAAGGGTCTGGTCCCTCCAGGCTCGGGAAACTACAGCAAATTCATCCCTCGTTTCAATGGATGATTTCACCTAATTGACCACCCATGTACAAACAGTTTACTTAACAAAAGGAGCTCCCCCAATCAGACTCACCATCCCAACATCGGGCCATGTCATTTTCGCCCCAAAGCCAGCCATGGCGTCCTTTCGGGTCTGACGTGGCGTCCTTTCGCCCGCCAAAAGCCGCGGGTGAAGTACGACCCCGGAGGGGGCGACGGCACACGCGTCGACGCGCGACACGCGGAGGCGATGCTCCACTCTCCTTAGCCTCGGGAGATGAGATCCTCCTCTTCACCGGCGCCACGGAGCGCCGCGCTTCGTGGGCGTCGCTGGTGACGGTGGTGAGGCGGTGGTGAGGGCGGTTGGGATCGTTGGTTTCGGGGGAGGGAAGAGTTGATTAAACAGTGACCTCCTTTGTTGAACCACCCCGATGTAGCTAAATATAGCAGTCCCGTGACATGAACCGAACAAAAAAACAGGTACAAAGAGTCAAAGAGCAAACACTTTCTGAGGTACGAAGAGGTCGACTCCGTCTCATATCCCATCTCCTGCTTTGTATCTCTCTCTCTCTCTCCCTGTCCTCCAACATCGCTACTAGTTTGGAGGCCATTGCTATAGGGTTGGCCTCTCTCTTCCTTCCCTTCCCTTCCCTTCCCTTTCCTTCCCTTTCCTTCCCTTTCCTTCCCTTCCCTTTCCTTCCCTCTCTCTCTCTCTCTCTTTCCCTCCCTGCCTCCCTCCCTGCCATAGCGCTCTCGAGGACTGCACGCCGGATGGCCCGGAAAATCTGGGGACCCTCAAATGGCCCGGGCCCCGCCAGCGTTGCCGGGACACGTTCTCCTTGGCATTTTGAATTTTGCGGGGTAAGGAGCGAAGATTAACGAAATTGTGGTCACTTGCCGGGGAAACATCATGATAGACTCTTGATTTAGCGACCCCCTCCCAGACAGACATTGCAACATACCGCATTCGACTGTCGTTTTGAGGTGATGTTCATCTTTGTTTGGTGCATCAAGAAGAACATGGCCAGAGTTACAAACACCTTCCACAACTGTCGTTTTGAAGACAATGACAACTGTTTATACCTGGACCCGACTTCAAGTAACTTAGAGAATGGGTTTGAGACTCCAGGTGTAGTCATTTGATTTGACATCGCAATGGAGTGACACCACATGCGGAGTCCGGTGCGTTCTTTCGTGTGGCGACCTTGCAACGCCCGCGCGAGACAGTTGGCCTCGAAAAGGTCACAAACAGGAACTCCAGGTCGTTCAGTCACGAACTGAAGAAACTGGGTTTCATTCGGCATTTTTTGATAGGCTTATGATACTTCCACATGGGGTCGGATTGGTTGGTCTCCCTACGTTCACAAAAAAAAGGCTCGGTAGTAAACACTGGCTGTCACAAGGGAAGCACTGGCCGTCAGGTATTTGCAGGGGATCTCGATCCTCAGTGGGACATCCTAAAAATACGGCCTACCCGGCAAAAGTGGAGAACCGGCTCAGGAGTCAGATTCCTACAAGTAACTATATAGGTTATCATTCAATCAATCAACCTGAGATATCCTGAGATCATGGACCCGGCAGTTCTATATTTCTTAGAGTTGCTGGCTGCAGGATGTATTTGATGCTGTGATATCAAAAATGGTTGATTCTCTATCTTATTCTTGTACGTTTTGCCATGTTGCAGCCATGTGGTCTTGCTGTCCCTTCATCATCTCTAGCTCTCAGTTCGAGGCGCTTCATCCAGAGCGATGGACGTGCCAAAGCCGGGCGACCCAATGGATTTAAAGGTCGGAAGAGGTGCCAATCGATTTGTCAATTGAGTCTATTGGATCTGTGTTTTTGAGCGTGGTTTTGCTGGATTTTTGTTGTTCATTTGCATCATGCTTTCCTGGAGTCCTTTCATTCCCTGGCATGGCAAGTGTAGGGGAAGATTTTAGTCCTTTTTGTGTCCGCTTCTGACATCAACAGATCCAGGCGTAGGGAATGGATGTGATTCTACATGTGCAAAGTCAGAGGGCAAAGAGAAGGAATTTACAGTTACAGTCCAGTGAGATGTTCTGTCGTGTCGCGGTTTCCTTTGTTCGACGCCATCGAAAAGGAGAGCGCGGTGCACCCCTCGTGGTGCACCCCTCGCCGACCGATGTGCTCTCAGCGCTCGGTGCCGTGGTCCGGACCGGGGAGAGAACGGCGGAGCGCCGAGCGGAACGTCCACGGACGCGAACACGTGTCGGGTGCGGAGAAAACAGATGCCATCAGCCTGGGCAACTACGTGTCAGTCACCGACCACTTGGAGGCAAAGATCGAGTTGGACAGGTTGGAGAAGTTGAGACTAGTTGGGCTATATGGTCAAGGTGACCAGAGAGGAGGTCTAGAAGGCGAACTTGAAGGGCACCACGGTTTCTCGGCTGGGCCTCATCAGCAAGCAAGAGGCCGAGGGGATCAACTTGCACTGGTCAGGCGAAAATGCCCAAACACCTGTCAGAACGTTTGGAGTCACTAGTGGGCCGTTGTTTTTTCACCGGCAGCAGCGAAGAGGCTCCATAATGAACAACTTGGGAGTGCACCGAAACAAGACAAATCCGACTCCAAGTACCTCCTCAGAAGGTATAATTATTTGGACCCTCCTGGCACCCAACCCAGCCCCACTTTAATCTCAGGAGGTACGACTGGAGCCCTAGTGGCTGATAGGGATTTAATGTCCTGCTGCAACCCTCCCACTTGACAAACACATCTTGTGCGGACAACCAGAAAATATCACTGGGACTGAAAAAGCGTCACCAAAGACGAAAACCATCATCCGACCTCATCACTGGTTGGTGCCACCATGTGCGTTAAAAGCACATACTCCCAAAGGTGTTGATCCCTACCAGCGCCATCCATCGATTTTGCGATTCACTGTGAAACTCTCAGGATCCGGTGCTGGACAACGAGACCATGCGATCAGTCAAGAGGCACGAGTCGGCCGAAAGGAAACTTTGAACAACCAATCAAGCTATTCGAATCTGCTTGTTCCCCACCTGCCAGGTGAGGGTCTTTAGATTTCAACAAAAGTGTTACTCTGCCCTCCTTCCTCGCACTTCCTGTTCCTGCCATGTCGTCATGTCACGGTGAGTGCCAGCACACCATAGAGCTCCAGCCCATGCGCGGCCGTAGCACCAGGTCAGGTCAGTTTGTGCACGCACAAACCTGCACACGATGCGAAACGATTGCCAGATAGAATGCCAGAAGATATTGCCAGTTAGAACGTCACGAGATTTGCCAGCTGGAATGATAGAAGATATGCCAGATAGTTTGCCGGAAAGGATGTCGTAAGATCAGAGGCAAACGGAAGGGTAGTGCACCGAAAGAGTTTTGCAAAAACCTATTCTACTAACATCGTGGAAGGCGCGGGACATTCGTGGAACCCGGGGCTATTCGTGGACGTTTCGTGGAATGGCGGGCCAGTAGGAAAACTGACTGAAACAAAATCCCAGAAACCTTCGTAGAACTTCGTAGAACGTATTTTTGATGCACTAACTTCGTTTAAGCGTTTTGGCTAACCCCCTTTCTCCACACACACCCTCCGTTGAGCCTTCATAAGATATGCCGCTGCCAGTTAGAATTGTCGTTGTTTGCTGCCGGAACAAGTGGCAGGTTTGATCTGGTTTGATGGCAGAACAAGCGTCGGATACACAAGGCTGAACACATGTCAGAACATATCAGAACCGAGGCTGGACCATATGTCGCTGCACATGTCAGACTTCACGGCCGGACAAATGTCAGAACACTTGCCAACAAGGACGTCAGGACCGGGTCCAGAGCATTTCCACGATTTCCAGTCTTTATGAAAGATGATGTGTCAGAACACATACAGTACCAGACTTGATGCCAGAACAAGTGTAAAAATGTTTGCGTCGGTGTGGGGTCACTCCAAGTTTTTTTAGTTGGACGGCCAGATTGTAGTGCTGTTGTTTGCCACACCAACTGTCGCATGCGCACCTGCCAGGAACAGTCGGGATAGCAGCCCGAGGCAGGGGGCGCAGGGCGGAGGGTGCGGCAGAATCTACATGGACCTTCCCTTCTCAAACAAGCACTTGCACCGAAGCACACCTAGAACTGAGTACAAGTACCAGTCTTCGCCTGTTTTGGTACGATGTCTATTGTATGACGGGGTATATGTGTTTTAGGCACCCTGACTGAGGGTGCAGGTCTTTTGTTTGCCTTAACGAATCCGACAGCTGCAGCAAAATGATTAAGATCCCCAGATCCCACGATTGCCACTTCGGTCCCAAATTGGCAACATGGACATGTAGCAACCAGTCACAAGGTTCATCCAACAAAAATCAGGACTACCTTCATCCTTGTCAACTGTCGTGTGTCCTTCTTCTTGGTTGTACCTGGCTAGCACCTGGCCTGACTACAATTTGTTTGTTGTTCACCATGTCACACCCTCTTCTGAAGACAAGCAGCACCTTTGGGCCCTTTGCACATTCTCCGACCAAGGAGTTTGATCCAATTTCCACCCCTCCAAGCAGCGAACACTCAATCCAGCAGCTTTCGACCAAGGGGCGTGCACCACGCAGGCACGCGACTGACAGGGCGGGGTGGTCGTTTGGACATTGAGACCGTTTTGGTCAACCATTGAATCATTACCCATTGGAAGGAAGATGCCGGTGCCTTCGCCCAAACACGAGCAGCTCAGATTTTCTAGTTGGGTTGAAACGACGGAGTCGATCATGCTCTGGAATCAATCCCTCTCCCATACACTCCATGGGACTGGAATATATGCCGCCCCTTTGACCCCAGGTCAACCACCCCAACGTATGCAGTGCTATGCCAGTCCCATGGGTCGTGTCTGGGTCCATGGGTCCGCACGTCGCTTTCTTTTTCAGGTCTGAGGAAGGATTTTTTTGGCACCATAGGGTTGCATCCTACCGGGTTGATCTTCCAATTTACCTGGAGTCTCACAGTCCTAAGTGCCAGGTTTTTTTTCTTCGGTTCATGTCCCATTTCAATCCCTAGGGATCCAAGTACCTTCTCAGAAGGTGATTGGAGACTATTTATGTAGGCTTGGAGGGCCCAAGTACCTTCTGAGAAGGTATGTGGATCCCTAGGGAATGTTCGTATGACCCCCTAGGGATCCAAGTACCTTGTCAGAAGGTGAGGAAGGAGACACTGTTATAACATGTCAATGTTCGACATACTTTGGAGGGAGCTACGCAGGTACGCGGGAAGCTGGCCCCTCCGCCGCTAGCCGTTGTCCGAGGTACGAGGTACCTCCAGGTATAGGGTTGAAGTATGTGTCTTCATATACCTAGAACCTGAGTGACCCCTGTTTTGGAGTCAAAACATGGTCTTTACCTATCAAAACAAAGGTCATATGGGTTCTAGGTATGTATATAAGCCCCAAATTGAATGACTAAATTCACGTAGGATCTGTGGGTTTGGGATTCTGGTAGGCTATGGGTCGGGGGTAGTGACAGTAGGGATGATTTGAGTGGCCCGCGCTCTGCAGTCATCCTTGGGTGTTTCAACAAGTTCGACTCCATGCACCACTGCTTGGGTTTTGTGCCCATTGAACGCCCGAAAGTGTGACTGACCTTCCAAACGAGTGTTTGCCTGGCAAACTAGGAGAGGGTTCCCAAGCTGTGTGGGAATGCATGCGTTTGGTCTACACCACGGGTTAAGTCAAAGAGTAGAACACGCTGCACTTGTTGAATCCTCTTCTATTCTCCCTCAGTTGTGGTCAATCGAAGCCAATCAATGAACCTGCCAACGTGTTGAAACGTTGGACATGGGCAGGTGTGGTGGGGTGGCAGGGGTTGTTAACTGCGATATTATAGAAATATTTTGGGTATATCCTAATCCCTGTAACAGTGGATGATTACGGATATATATATATATATGGTTTGCAGGTCTTTCTGTAAAATGGTGATGTTCTTGTCTACAGACTGCTACAGGTTTAGTTTACTGGGACATCCCCAATAAATATGTTGTTCCCGATATGGAGCTCACAAGAAAAGCAGTCAGATGCTAAGATTACAAAGGCAGAAGGCAGCACTATCGCGCGGGGATCTTGGAGCACATTGTGTCAGTGGTGTCAGTGGGAGAGATATGTACCTTGGGTTTGTCTTATTACCTGCAACAGTCGGAAACAAATCCACTGCTACTGGTTGTAGGATAGACTGACCCAATATATACACGTAGAAAATCCAGCGACCAAGGTGCTCCCTTGTCTAAAATCACACCACTGGGATACGAAAACGATCAAAGACGCTGACACTTTGTGTTTTTGTCGAACACCTGAGAACAAGGGATAAAATACCGCATCGTAGCCTGAGAGCTGCCTCATTTCCCAGGCATCAGTGGTATATTTGACCGTCGTTCCTCATGATGCCCCACACTGTGAAAGAGCCGCTCTTTTTTGAGTTCAAGTACATCAAATGCGGGGATGGGTCATGGCACCTGGAGCTCTGGGAAAAACCATGTAGTGAGGAACGACATGAGCCCGACCTTCGGTCGTGCCCAGTCGGTCTCCTGGTTTTAACCCAGAGCCATTCCAAGTGAGGTTGAACAGCCCTATAGCCCATCCCATATGTACCACTACAGGGTCCTATATGGTCTCTCAACCTCGCTTGGTTTATTAGCTGCATTTTGACATGTGTTCCTCTATGATTTTTTTCCTTTCGGAGTCGGCACAAAATCCATCCAAGACACGACCCATGGGCCGTATTTGCCAAGAAAAGGCCAGGGTTGGACGTGCCGCTTCTTTTTTGCGACGGTCCGAGGTCAGGTGGAGAAAGCTGGACAAAAGCATCGCTACACCTGCCTGGGGCAGGCGTGAAAGAAAAACAGCAGGACCTTCAACTTGGAACCGACAGGCCAGGATCAACCAAAGTCCAGCTATGTCCAGCTTCTTCAGATCGTGAAAAAGTTTGGAGTCCCTTTTCTTAGTGACCTTTTACAGGCAGTAACCAGATCCAGAAAGTGAAAATAATATAGCTTAGTATATATAAGTGACCAAAGTACCCAGATCCAGAAACATGCTCGAGCTTCGACATGGTGACCGGACGTGTTTTTGACCTAACCAGGCGCAACGTGTTGGCTGACTGGTTTGTGGGGGCTATGTCTAGGATGTTTCAGAAAGAAGACCATAGATGTTTCGCGAAGTGCGTGGACAGCCATGCAACACCTTTTCTGTTGAGCTTGGGGACATCCCACTAAACATCAACAGAACAGATGGAAGAAAACCTCTTATTTTACGCCCTAGGCCGCCTAGGCCCTAGGCCGCCTAGGCCCTAGGCCTCCGGTCGTACCTTCGTTTCGATTGTGGGACTGGGGTGGGTGCCAGGAGGGTCTAAATACCTTCTGAGGAGGTACGACTGGAGGTGTAGGGACAGGGATCGATCGAAACAACATCGATCGGACAGGACCACGTTCGAAGAATTGTTTGGAGGGAATCCACCAGCGCCCTCGAATGGGTGACAGATGGTTGAGGCGACAATGGGCCCGAAACAAACCAGTCCCAGAGAAGTACAGTTACCACTATAATCCACTATATAAGGAACCAGAGGTGCTAGGTCCACGGTGACCAGCCATAGTGGTAACTGGATCCTCTGGGAAAGATTGTTTGCAAAACACATTGGGATCGCCCTCCCCTTTTGGATGGACTTGGCACCATTCAGAGTGTTTGGGCCAGTGGGCCAGTGGGAGAAGAAGGGTATTGCAAGAGGTGGCAGCTAAAGATCACAGTGCAAGTTTTCAAGGATCTCAAAGAATGCGCAAACCCTTGAAGACCCTAAAAAGCAATATAATCTTCAACAGAAACGCTTAAAGTCTATAAGAGTGCCACAAGCCGGTTCGCACGAAAAGGGTGCTACAAATTATACATGTTAAGGTATAGTTATACATATGTGGTTTATCGGGCCCGCAGATTAACATGGAGTCTCAACACCACTGGGTTGGTATTCGGAACGCGGTCGAAACCACGGGGTCATTTTCAGGCTCCATGTCCCATGTTCTAGGCGACCAACTGGTGTCGTTTTGTGCAGGTATATAAGCAATTGTCTTCAAAGCGACTTCCGTGGGAGGTTGCTTTTTGCTTCGGCGATGTTTTGTTTGATGCGCCAAACATAGAAAAAACACATCACAACGACGGTCAAATGCGATATGTTTTTTTGCCTTAATGTAGACGCTTGATTCATAGAACCTGCAGATGGAAGAGGTTTTACAATCCAATTCGGGGTCTAACTATACCTGCTGAGGAGGTGGGGACAGGAGCCTTAGGGATGAGTACAGTTTCCCCAGAGTCACGCACGACTCCGTCTGGGCGGGTTCATTGGAGCGGATCATACATCGATATACATTGAAATCCTTTACACAGGAAATGGCTGGGAATGGGGATCCCTAGGGCTCCAAGTACCTCCTCAGAATCTAGAAGGTATTTGGACCCTCCAGGCACCCACCCCAAACACCTTCTTAGAAGGTACTTGGAGCCCTAGGGGATAGATATCCATTTCTTTCTGGTACTTCCAACAGTTTCCAGGAGGAACAACCTTGCATCGATACAGATATGAGACAATATTTTTTCCCCAAACAGTGTGGGCACACTGAGGGGTTCTTAGGGTTTTTCTTCGGAGGTGTCTGGAAGAGATGAGAGAGCCAGAAAAACACTGGCCTGAGAGTGTCCTTGGAGCTCATGGAAAGAAAAGGTGTCTTGAAACCATCCCAAAAACCATCCCTTTTTGCCTGAAGAACACAAACGGTGTCCCTCGACGTCCCTTCCTCCGTCCCTCAGGTCTTCGACGCCTTCGTGGAGGAGCCCCGGTCGCGCGGGAAGTCGCCGGGCCGCCGCTGGGACCGCAACAGACGGCGGACGCGGAGGTGAGGTGAGGCGAGCGACCGGGGGGATCCAGCGGGGGAACGTGGCAACAACGAGCGAACACGCGTTTGGTCCTATAAGGGATCCAGTACTTCGGAGGTTTGATTTGTAGATGTTCCTGTAGAAGAATCCGGGTGACCCGTGTCTGATTCTGGAATAGGGAAACAAGGAGTTTGAGAGGATTTGTCTTCTCTCAGTTTTTTGCTGAGGTTGTGGATGTTTGGACAAGCAAACGGAAGGAAGTGGACAAACATGCTGAAAATATCAGGCTCTATAGATCAGATATAGACATCAATTTACCAGATTTGGCAAAGGAAGTTTGGAGATCAACCACCCACATATTGCCATCCAGATTTGTGCTGACATGAAAACCATAATTTCCCCACTATTGTTCGGAAACTTGAGCAGCTCCCGCGTGCCATCCATCTTGTTGCTGCAACTGATAACAAACTTTTGCACGATACTGTGAAGAGTGATGTTGTAATGGTCCAGGACAAACGACAGGCCATGGAAATACTCCTGTCAAGGCAGGATGTTCAATTGGCATCAATTGGCAAATGTTTGCTTGTTTTGGGTTGACACTGCTCAGATGCTGGAGGATACCATGACCAATCCAACGTGAAACTGTGAAACCAACTTTATTTGTTCGACATGGTCCATGGTCTTCAGTCCGCCGGATGAGAGGGGCTTACAACACGTTGCTTGCGCCTAGAGGCATAAGGGTTCTCTCATACCTCCAAAACAGGGCGGCCTCAGCTGTGCTCAAAAGTAATGCCGACCCGCATGAGCCCGAAGGGGACGCTATCAAGGCTCTCCGTGTGGGAGTAGCGTGTGTGCTGAATTTCGCCATCCTACGCTCACCGGTTCGCAAAGCTGCTTCGTGCAAGGCTGGTCGTGTGCGTACCACGTGCGTTTTGGCTTGTGGCCGGCCTTCTCATGACTGGTTCATCCGTGCCTTTCGTCTACCAGACCTCTACACAGACTCTTCAGGCAGGTATCCGGTCGCCACGGTTATCGGTTCAGTACTGCACGGCAATCCCAACCATTTCAACGAAGGAGTTCGGGAAGCAGCTGCACATGTACTACGCGACGCTGACATGCACAGCACCTGGTGGTCAACGCTCGGTGCGAGGGTGAGATGAACACATTCCTGTCCTGATGATGTGAGCCCCCTCGTGCAAGCACAGATGCCAAGAAAGTTCAAGCCGATGGCAACGGATCCAATCGATGGTGACAGGCGATACCATATCGAGACGGAGCTCGTTATAGGCCCCATCGGCGTTGCGCCGCGCCTTGGGCTCTTGTATCCGGTCACATTCCCGAACCAAGACTTTTGCGAGAGTGGCCGGCTCAACTATGAGCACAGCCTCAAAGCTTACTGATCTCTCGGTGTATGCTGCTGAAGATCTGCCGTGTTGGGGCACATGCCAAAGACATCATAGGCATAATGGACCTAGCATGTCATGGAAGACAACCCTGCTAGCCCGGGAACCGGCCTCGTTTTGGAACGCGCAATTGGTCTCAATTTGGAACGTGGGCCTTTCCTGCGGTTGGGCTGATGGTTTCTCTCTGGTGGTGTTTTTTTCTTCCAGTGTTTTTTTCTTGTGAGATTGTTCTTATGGTGTTTTTGTAATTATCGTGGCTTTTGTTTCCTCTAGTGATTGTCTTTTTCTGTTGGTAGTTTTGTATGTTTTCATCTTGTGTTGTTTTTGTCTTCTGTTGTTTTTTTTTTCAAGTGGTGTTGTTTTCCTTCTGGTGTTTTTTTTCTCCTGGTGTTTTGTTCTTGGGTGTTTTTTATTGTGATGTTTTTTCTTGTGAGTTTTTTTTTGACTGTTGGTTTTGTTCTTGTTGTGTTGTTTTCTTCGAGTGTTTTTTCTTGCGGTGAGTTGTTCTTTTGGTGCTTGTTTCTCCTGGTGTTTGTTTGTTCTTGGGTGTTGTTTTTCTTCTGGTGCGTTTTTCTTTGGTGTTTTTTTCTTGCGATGTCTTTTTTCTTCGGCTGGTGTTGTTCTTGTGGTGTTTTTTTCCTGGTGTTTTGTTGTTTGGTTGTTTTTTGCTCTTTTCTTTCTTGTTGTTGTTTGTTTTTAATTGTTGTTGTTTTTCTTCTGGTGGCTTGTTTTGTTGTTGTTTTTATCCTGCTTGTTTTTTTTCTGTTTGTTTTCTCCTGCTGTGGCTTTTGGTTATTGTTACGTTTGTTTCCAGGTGTTTTTCCTTCTGGTGCCTGCCAAGGTAGTATACTAGTATACCTTCCTGGGTTGCTTTGTTGCTTTGATCTCCTTCAATATAAACGGAGGGGGGTGCGGGGGAGGGCGCAGCGCCTCCCCCGCAATGTAAACCAAGTCTAGTGACTTTGTTGGCAAAAAGCAAACGGGGGACATATACTAGGCATTAGCCAACAACAAATAACAAAAACATATTTACCTAAAATAACAAGATTAAACATGAAAGACAAACCATCACAACAAAGAGTGGCACCTTCCTCCTCTAAATTTGACTGCACACTACATATCAACAAACTTCTATCGAACACCAGAATCTAGTCCAAAGTGCGAACGGATTGTATTCCAAGGTCGCATACCTTTTCTGAGCCACGCGTGGGTCAAATGTACTTAGAGGAAGGAGGTGCCATTCCAAGGTAGCAAAGCTTTTGTGATCCACGCGGGGGTAAAATTTAGATGAGGAAGGTGCAATTAAAAGCATACCTTTTGTGAGCCACGCGGGGGCTTAATTTAGAGCAGGAAGGTGCCATTCCAACGTAGCATACCTTTTGTGAGCCACGCGGGGGTGAAATTTAGAGGAGGAAGGCGCTATTCCAAAGCATGCCTTTTGTGGGCCACGCGGGGGTGAAATTTAGAGCGCGAACGCACCATTTCAACGCATGCCTTTTGTGAGCCACGCGGGGGCTAAATTTAGAGCAGGAAGGTGCCATGCCCAGGTAGCATACCTTTTGTGAGCCATGCGGGGGTGACATTTAGAGCAGGAAGGTGCCATTCCAAGGCAGCATACCTTTTGTGGGCCACGCGGGGGTAAAGTTTAGAACAGGAATCAGGAAGGTGCCATTTCAAGGTAGCATACCTTGTGTAAGCCACGCGGGGGTGAAATTTAGAGCGCCAACGCACCATTCCAACGCATGCCTTTTGTGAGCCACGTGGGGGCTAAATTTAGAGCAGGAAGGTGCCATGCCCAGGTATATACCTTTTGTGAGCCACGCGGGGATAACATTTAGAGCAGGAAGGTGCCATTCCAAGGCAGCATACCTTTTGTGAGCCACGCGGGGGTGAAATTTAGAGCAGGAAGGTGCCACTCCAAAGCATGCCTTTTGTGAGCCACGCGGAGGTTACATTTAGAGCAGGAAGGTACCATTCCAAGGTAGCATACCTTTTGTGAGCCACGCGGGGGTGAAATTTGGAGCAGGAAGGTGCCACTCCAAAGCATGCCTTTTGTGAGCCACGCGGGGGTTAAAATTAGAGCAGGAATGTGCCATTCCAAGGTAGCATACCTTTTGTCAGCCACACGGGGATAAAACTTAGAGCAGGAATGTGCCATTCCAAAGCATGCCATTTGTGAGCCACGCAGGGGCTATGCCAATCAACGAAGCAACCAACGAACCCCAGCAACCAACGAACCCCACCAACAAAGCCACTAGACTTGGTTACATTGCGGGGGAGGCGCTGCACAGCAACCCAGGAAGGTATACTACCTTGGCATGGCACCTTCCTGCTCTAAATTGGGCCCGCAAACCGATATGACATCGTGTGTGCGCTACATATCAACAAGTTCTATCGAACACCGGAATCTATTCCACACTTAAAAATGATTGTTGTGTTCCATAATCAGCCGAATCATGTGTTCCAGAATGAGCCTCCTCCCGCTAGCTGGGAGATCGTTTCGGCTCTGGTCGATGTAGGTGTGACAGAAGTCTACTAGTATGATGATCAACCAGAAACTCTGTGGCCGTGAGCCCGCTGGACTACTTTTGTATTCGGCCTGACGGGCTCCCTGACAAAAGTGCAGACTGGTATGCCAAGCAGAGCCCCATTGATCAAGGGGCATGTGCATCCAGGCAGGGGCTCAACGACCGCCTTGCAGAGTTTTTCATGGGACACGCAGAGGGAAACCATTGTCCCCGCGCCGCTCTACATGCGGCGTATCCACTCCCACTCTTCCGGCCTGACTTCTCCTTGGTGAGGGGGCTGCACGACCGCTGCGCATCCATAACGGACTACCGCCCCGATGATGTGGCGTGCGTAGTAGATGCCCACCTTCGATACTTCTCCTATTCTGGGTGCAACGCAAAGTGTGACCTCAGCCACATGTCCAAGGTTGTTAACAGACGCGACATCTGCTACGCCATCAGCCGGGCACAAGGCCTCCGCCTCCAGGAGGAGTCTCGAAAGGTGGGCAGAGACAGCTCGTCCTTGCCACGTCTAATGGGCACGTGCTGATCGACGCGGCAAACGCGGAGACGCCAGGCCGGAAGGACGCCTGTTTGCATTCCTATGAACAGTTTCCGCAAAAAATCATTTTCTCGAGCTTCTGGCCGTGTATAGAAAAGGGGAGACTGCCCAAAGACTGCAGGGAAGAGGAACATCAGCCAAGCCCGAGTGTCTCCCCGATTCCAAGGCAAGCTTTTCAATGGCTAAAGAATGATGAAGAAGGATTACATCACACCATAAAGATGACCAATTTCCGAGCAGGTGGTGCGTCCATGATGATTTCATTTCGAGTGAAGATGGTTTTTTTAACGGACAGGTGGCTAAGTAGGCAATGTTTGCTAAGCAGGCAGTACCTGGAGTCTCAAAGTACTACTGCCACAGAAAACGGGCCAACGGGTTCTTAAATAGGGTCCCATTTGTTCTAAGGTTCTTTCAAGTTTCCAGGAATTTGCTGGTTTTGTGCAACGGCCGGTTTCCAGCGAGCTGGTTGAGGCGTCACCTTCGCGCCAGAGCCGTCTTCGACGAAGGAGAAGAAGCTGGGTGACTGACGTGAAGACCAAACGAGGGCCATTTTGTTCCGGATTTTGTTTGTTGTTTTAGAGTTCTAGGATTCTTGGATTCCCGAAACAGTAAACAGTTCTAGTTCTAAAAGTCTCCCCAAATTTTGATGTCGATGTAATCAATCACAACACCGTTTTGGGGGGATTGGGAACACCTCACTGAACATGGAACAGGTGGAAAATGGTTCGCCTTTGAATAGAAACAGAGGGGGGCTCATAATCCATTTTGGCTATTGACGCACAGGTGAGCTGGAATTGATGGGGGTTCTTTCTTGGAGTGAAGTTCCGAGATCCTTGCCAAGTATTAATGAAGCTGACCTCAATGGACTGGATCTGGTCATGCAAAACCAGCACTCAATGGACCAGGTTTAACTTGGCCCTTGGACGGTATGGCAGTTTTTCCCGGTTTGGCCCCGTTGGGTCTTAAACTTTTAGTATTTGGAGCATTTTGTATATCCACTCAAGTTGAAGCTGAAGCGATCAGAACAAGTGCTGATTTAGATTGATTCGAAGGCGAGCACCACAGCACAGGTCAAAAGCTCACCTTGCTGTAAATAGCCACATGGAGACTCTCCCGCTTTTCGTGCCAGAGTGGCAGAGAATTCAACACCGTTACTCTCCCCCAACAAAGTCCAGTTTGCCCCAGTAAAAACCAGGTCGATTGACTGCTGGAATAGTACTTGTCTTGACCAGCTGGACCAGCTCCAGGATTTCAGGAGGTCCGCCGGACCTTTTTCGTGCCGATGTTCCAGGTCCACGAGCCGATCTTTGGGAATGTTCGAAAAAGGCGCTCCCAATTCACTGATTTACGATAGCGGTTGCAGAGGACTTCAATCTGATCGTGGTTTCAGAGGTGTGTTTTTGGGCGCCCAGAGGTGCCCCTACATGTTTCTTTCGGGGTCCAAACCATGGAACGGCCGTCCGCGGCACCGACCCTCTGAACCCACCCACTCGTTTTGCATGAAGCTTCGGTGGGAAGGGCCACACATGAAAGGAGGCTGGTGGAACGAACAGATGGTGTTTCCGTACCATCTTAAACCCTACGAACGGCCCTACACCTCCAGTCGTACCTCCTCAGAAGGTATTAGACTATTTGGACCCTCCAGGCACCCACCCCAGTCCCACCTTCTCAGAAGGTACTTGGAGGCCTAGGGGAAAGTAAGAAATGCAACAGAAGATCAAACCAAGGGCGTACTTCTCCCCCATAAAGCTGAAGGGACGACAGTCGCAAAGTTCAATATGGCTGCAGCGAAAGGTGCCCAAATTTTGCCAATTGATGGTGCTGTGAAGCCACAGGATGTAAAGTTTCCAACAGATAGGCTGGCAGGAGATAGGTTGGGATGAGGGAATTCCAGGCTTTGTGTTTTGGACAAGTCAGAGGTTAACGGCCCAACTCTGACGAGATCATTGAACATGAGATCGGTCCAGCAGTTCCGAACTTGCGGCGTGAACTTGGATGGTCGGGTTGCCCAGAACATCCACTCACAGAATTTGGGGACTCAACGCAATTCGATTGGAACTGCTGGGTTTGTCTCTTCCCAAGCTTCCATGCCACATAGCTTTGAACACAGGTTAGCAGGGGTTGCGGTCAGAGTTGTTTTTGGTGTACTGACTTTCTGAGGGCTATCCTAAAGTCCTGACACGGAGAACTGGGCCCCTGTTGATTTTGATCACCCCTCGCACAGTGCAAGAATCGGATTTGGGCTTCGATCCCGAACTCCGGAACTGCGTCATCCACATCGGTTCCCCTAATCATCCACTGAGTCATCCAGTCATCCACATTCCCTTTGAGAAGGTCTTCCAGTGATTTGTTGTCACTGGGATGCAGTTGTACCATACCTGGCATTGCGTTTTGCGGCTCGCGGCTCACGTTTGCTCCCTTCGGTTCCCGACTCTTGACGTGACCGTGCCCCCCGACTCGTGGCTTTAGGACAAGCACTCCACAGTGCAGAGACCAGCTGGGGGCACCCAGGGCGGCCGGTGGAAATCTCGGCAGGGAAACGGTGTGACGCAAATCGACCTCACACCAGGTTTGGTTTGCGGGCGAATTTCAAGAGGAGGCCCACCCATGGAAAAAATTACCAGTTCAGCCATTTTTGCGTGGCTCAACTTGGTGAACGATTTCAGTGGGAAGAGGTTCCTACGATTCCAGGCAGGCGGTCGTGGGCTGAAGGTCAAGCTTGTTGTGGGCTGAATGGACCAGATAAAGAATAACAAATATACCCTGTACTACATGCTACTTAATACTGGAGTTGGTGATATAAAACCACTACTCTAACGGACCAACGTCGGTGGGTAGAGTCAGGATTTCCGGATAGACTCCGTCTATCAGCGGGTCCAACAGTCAGACTCCGTCGATGTCGTTTACCGTGTGACATGTCTACCCAAACGGGAACGTTCTCCTAACCCAAAAAATCATCACCAGGAGTCACAAAGGGGTGGTGTTTAGTCCTCAAGTGAGTGGATAATGGACACCCCTAGCCTTCATTAAGCACCCCTTTGTGACTGCTGGTATATAGACGAGTCTCCTAACCATAAAAGGAAAAAAAGGAGCTTCGGTTCAGCATGTTTATTTGTTGCCCGACAACCGGGGAGTCGTCCGTACCGATTCACACCCGATTCACCACCGTTGGACGAAGAACGGGTGGGGAGTCGTCCCCGCGGCGCGGACGGCGAGGCCACGGGCTACATCCGAGAAGTGCCTCCTGAGTGCCCTGGGCTGAAAACAGACGCGGAGGGAGGTCGGACGGAAAAACCCAAGAACCACATAGAACAACTTCCAGGGGCCCCCCGAAAAAGGGCGTGGTTAATGAACACCCCGAATCACATACTAAGGGGCTATCAATAGAAGCCCCTGGTCCCGGGGTCCTGGTAGATACCTAGATCTTCCCTTTCTTCGCTGCCAGAAGTTTTTGCTGCCGGATGTTTGATCTCGGGAGATTGCAAGTTGATCTCGGCCCGCTTGGCCGAAGCGATCTTTTTCCACACAGCAAGATACCGCTTCAACCGCTACGTTTGTGCAAGAAATACGCCTTGCAAAAATACAGCCCCAACACTCTGGTTTGCATGGACCTTGTGTCCGTTTGGCGGGAAAGCCAGCTCAACCGGCCAGCCATGTTTTCGTTTGAATCGCTAGACCAGACTAATCCCGTCCTCCTAATAATAAACACGGGCCCCCCCCCCCTATTAAAAAAACCTCGGTCGCATTTTTTCTAATAGGGGGTCCCTGAAATCGGGGGGGCCCAAAATAGGGTCACCTGGAAACAGTTTCAAAACCAAAAAGTAATCCAGGAAAATTTTATATAAAATCCTTTATTAAACTCATATCAAAAATGCAAAAAACCGCCAGATCGAAGGGTCTTCCTTTTCCCCTACAAAAACCTTCATTAGAATAGTGATTCTTCAGTAGACTAACAGCTAAAGCTTTCGAAAGGTGATGTCGCTGTGCCATGCGGTGTTGCATGACCTGCAAGTGCGTTTGCGTGAGTCCGTGCCATTGAGGGAAGGAAAGCCTGCTGGTGTAAGCGCGGCGTGTCATGGTGGAGTTTTGGGGAGCCATAAAAAAATAACTACCACCAAAATCGACCATGTTGGTAGTTTAGTAGCGGTTTGAAAGGGCGGCAATTTAAAACCAAATATAAACCGAATTTAGGGGTTCGGACGTGGTGTTTTTTTAATTGGGGAGTGTTTATTAATAGGTACTCGGGATTAATGGGTTCACAAAATGGTTGCCACAACTATTCTTTTAAGCCTGACTGGCATACCAGTGGTAATTCTGTTCATTTCCTGCTAGCATTCATTGGACACCTCCCTTGGAGAAACTGTGATGTGGAACGCCGCGCCTCTTGGATCTTCAGGGGCAGGAGGGCTTGTCGAATCCACAAAAAAAACTTAAGAGCATATCGTCGCTAGCCTTCACGTTCGCCCATGGAAAATGGGTGCTTCAGTTTCACTGTTGAAGAGAGCCTCACTAAAGGATCGAAGAGCGCTCTTGCCTTCTGCAAGACAGACAAGCTTGAAGAAACCATGAGCTGGTTGAAGCTGCGGAACCCTTGAAACGTGCCACATCAAATGGCACTTCCAAGGTCTGGCTGGGTGGGTCACGCCTCGATGCGCATGATCAATGTGTTTCCTCTTCGTTTTCCTTTGCCCGCATCTCCATAGAAGGCGTATGGGATGGTGGTTTGAAAGAGCAACTCCATCATCACCCCACTGGTAGACTACATGATTCTCATGGTTCCCCCTGTAGCTCTTCCAGAAGGATGCCATCAGTGACACAATGTCACTATCATCATTGAAACCCCCACAAAGAAGCTCGGGTCGAGAGGACAGGTGGTGCTTGAACATGTCATTTAATGTACAAAGGTATAGCAGAAACAAACGTTGGGTCCTAAATTTGTACTCCATCAGCTTGATGGGTATCCTCCAACTGTTTGACCAAAGCGTTGTATCATCCTGTGACAATCCCTGGAGCAGCATGGGCGTTAGCCTCGGGCCATGGGATTCAAGCAGCTGGCGCCTGAAGGCTCAGAGTTGGGCGGACTTGGGGTATGGGCGCAGAGTTGGGCCAACTGGAAAGGTGCAAAGATTGAGCACTTCTCAGTCTGAGAATCGGACCCACCTCCCACCTCCCACCCCGCCGTTTAAACATTCACCCGGTCCGCGGTCCGCCTGACCGGTTCGTTGTTGAAGCCGCGGTTGAAAGAGGGTCAGGTGTGTAGAGATCAGGCCAGGGATGGATCTGTTAGCCGCACCATCAAAAAACAAACAGTCACAGGCTCAGTTATGTCGGCTGACTGATGCCTCCCAATCTGCCATTTCTGCTTGCAATGTACTTAGGCATTTCCCAGCACAAGAAACCGTTTTGGCAAACCTTGCATGTCTAGCTGCTGGACTAGACACGCAAAACAAAATTTAAAGGTTGCCTACATCCACTCCCATTTTTCTTGATTGAGATCTCATATGTCTCTCTCTCTTTATATTATATATATATATATTTCTATACACCCCTGTGTGCTGTATGAAATAAGTTAGCCGGCGCCACGTATTTACTTTCACACCTCCATGTCGGTGCCGTTTGGATACGCCACGTGTATCGGATATGTCGGAAACCGCTCCAGCTGGAAACCTTTTTTTCCCGAATGCCTAGCGAAGGGTTCTCGTTTAACTCTGGGGGTCTGGGGGTAGGGCCTTGTTCGCGACCCGTTGTTTCTATGTTCGCAACCGTCCGCAACCGGTCGCAACCGTTCGCAGGTGTTCGCAGTAGAGCGCTAAGGCGCTGCCATTGGGGGAAGCTTTTGGAGAGGGTTTCGGATGAAAACGTGACGTGTCAGATTCGTGTGAAATAGCGAGGAATCGTGTGGAAATGTAAGAGGTTGTGTGCTGGATGATTTCACTGCGCAGGCGCAGCGTTTTGTGAGATCCGCAGTTTACTACGCAGTTCCATTGGGATTAGCGTTTGGAGAGTCGTGTTTTTGGAATCGTGAGGTTGCGAGGTGTGACGGAGGTGACATTTCGTGGCAGGCACAGTACTTTGTGCGCGTTAGACGTGTGGATGCGGAAAGATTCGTGGCAGGCGCAGGGAATCGTGAGGTCGTGAGTTGTGGTAGAGGTGAATGTCGCTGTCACATTGGGATTGGCGTGTGAGCGGGTATTGTTTGGAGGGCTGGACTCGTGAAACTGCTTGGCAAGGCAGCGTGATGTGTGTGCTCCGATGGGTGTTTCCGCTTGACTTTTGGAGGAAGTCTCGTACGAAACGCTCGCTTTGGAGACTTGACGTGTGACTTTTGGAGGAAGTCTCGTACGAAGCGCTCGTTTTGGAGACTTGACGCGTGACTTTTGGAGGAAGTCTCGTACGAAACGCTCGTCTTGCAGCCTCGAAGCGTGACTTTTGGAGGACGTCTCGTACGAAACGCTCGGAGGAATGTTTCTAGTGTGCCACAAGAGTGTCCCACAAGAGTGTGTCCCACAAGAGTGTCCCACAAGAGTGTCCCACAAGAGTCCCCTACAAGAGTGTCCCAGAAGAGTGTCCCACAAGAGTGTCCTATAAGTGTCCCACAAGAGTGTCCTACAATAGTGTCCCACAAGAGTTTCCTACAAGAGTGTCCCGCAAGAGTGTCCTATAAGAGTTTCCTACAAGAGTGTCACACCAGAGTG